TTTATTTTACATTTAAAGGAAATATTACTTTTACAGAATTACACACATTTTGACATTTTTAGTCAAACTCATACTGAATTGTTTGTGTGTTATCCATGTACTGTATATGTGTGTCTTTACTGTTGTTGTGTGTTGTGTGTGCGCTGCAGAGAGGAAGGTTCCTCTGAGGCTGAACTACAGTAAATACTGCAATAACCTAACAGAAGATAACCTCATCCGTCTCGGGGCTCTGCTGATCGACTACAGCACCAGAGACGCCATCATGGCCATGCGGGACATCGTGCTGGACGACCCTGAGATCAAGATCAGGGTACAAACACAAACACACAACGCCATACACCCAGCGCAATGCAATTTCAGGCACAACGCAAGTGTGTTTTGCTAGTTTCTGTCTGGTGCAGGTTTCTTTGCACGTCCTGCACCAAATAGTTAATGCATTTGCACCCATTAGTGCAATGATGGATGTGCTGGTCTGAAAAGGAGGTGTGTTAAGGCACTTTGTTAATGAGTTGCTATATTAAAGCAACTGAAATAGACTGCACCATTGACCAACTAAACGCTAAAGTCAATGACTCAATGACTTATTTCGGTATTTATTTTGTTATTAATAGAGCATGTTATTGATATGAGAGTCCGAACACATATACACTTTGCTTAACACACACATAGGGATGCACAGCACCACACAAACATCTTAAAATGTGACAAATAAAGGATTAAAATGGAAAAGATTATCATTGTCTGCATAAATACAAAAACCAGCTTCCTCCTGCTACGTCTTGTTCATCTCATGGTGCTTTGGTGGATCCGGCTCATTCTGTTTAGCTCATTTCAGTATATTATTCTTTGTCACATTAATGCCAAATGATTAGTTTAATGCACGTTAGACTCAAAACACACCCATACCTCAGTAAGAGAATATAGACACAACTTTTAGAGCAGGGGTGTCTGAACTCGGTCCTGGAGGGCTGGTGTCCTGCATAGTTTAACTCCAACTTTCTTCAACACACCTGCCTGGAAGTTTCTAGTATACCTGGAAAGAGCTTGATCAGCTGGTTCAGGTTTGTCTAATTGGGGATGGAACTAAACTATGCAGGAAACCGGCCCTCCAGGACCGAGGCTGTTTCTCAATATGCGTTCTTCAGCGGTCTTGCGTCCTCGTGTTTTCGT